GCTGTCACACTTCCTGACAAACAAAAACAATACAATTCATATCAATCTCATCAAACAAACTCATAAAGAAGCACACTGTGAAGGTTGGATGGAGAGTGTTTTATGGTATTAAGCTATTATCAAGGTAAACTTTGTTTTGTGTCCATTTGTTAATCCTGCAAAATCTTCAAGATCCTTGATATGAATTGGGGCACAATACTGACAACAATTGATGGAAAAAATATTTTCAAATATCCATGGTATATCACATGTGACAGAAGTTCAATCTATGTATCTGACTGGGAGATGAACACAGTAACAAGATTAAACTGGCATGTGATGTGATAGGAAGTTATAGTGGTATGAGTGATCCTAGAGGAATGTCACTGTCAGATGATGGTACTATCTTTGTGTGTGACTTGGGGAGAAATGTTATAGAAGAGATATCAGGAGATTGTTCCACAGGAAATGTTGGTGTTGAAAACATCTGAAAGTACCATATGCTGTATGCTGGTGTGAGGAAACAAAGAAGCTGTATTTCAGTAGTCGGCAAAATGATGAGAAAAATGAAAACTTTCTTCACACCTATAAACTATCATAAACATGGGCAAAATGTTAAGATAGTTTGACTATATTCTACATACATACTACATTTCTATATATGCTTACATGGGCACTTAAATCCAATATAGCAATACTTTTCTATGAAGTGTTTTTTTAAAAAAGTATAAATACATGTAATCAGATTTAAGCTTATTAAATAAGGCAATGTTTAATTACTGTGATTCTCAAAAGTCCCCATAATTCAGTGCTTTTCATAAAAATTGGGTTTTTATGCCGATTTTCAAAAGGCCCTGGTTCCATTAACAAGAAAGCAGAAAAGACAATGTGTCTGTTAAGAAGTCATTGTAGTCATATACCACTGAAGATCAACTCAATAGTGAATCCACTTAACTAGCTTTTATCTGGATAACTAACTTGAAACAACCAATTTCTATGCAAGTGAGATACTACTAAGCCTACCTGATTTCTGGATCAGTTCTGTATTTTACTGGTTCCACACAAAGTTCTGGTTCCAGCAGTTTGCATAAATACAGGCATTTTAAACAATTTTGTCATTCTGCTGCTAATTTTTGGAAAAGAAACATCTGGCAGCCATCTTAAATTACTAGATCTTCATTTTTTGTTGACATAAGATTTAAACAGGGCTTGCTACTATTCAGATTTATTAATTTAATAGCACAGAATCATTAAGGTTATTTTTCATATTTTTCATTTTTTAACAACTTTTAACTGGTTTAAATCTTGTAATAAAGTAAAGTAAGTAAGTAAGTAAGTAAGTAAAGTAAATAAGTAAGTAAGTAAGTAAGTAAGTAAGTAAGTAAGTAAGTAAGTAAGTAAGTATAAGTAAGTAAGTAAGTATAAGTAAGTAAGTAAAGTAAGTAAGTAAGTATAAGTAAGTAAGTAAAGTAAGTAAGTAAAGTAAGTAAGTAAGTAAGTAAGTAAGTATAAGTAAGTAATATAAGTAAGTAAGTAAGTATAAGAAAGTAAGTTTAAGTTAAGTATAAGTAAGTAAGTAAGTATAAGTAAGTAAGTATAAGTAAGTTAAGTATAAGTAAGTAGTTTAAGTAAGTAAGTAAGTAAGTAAGTAAGTATAAGTAAGTAAGTAAGTAAGTAACGACTTTATTTAATGAGCAACACAGTTGGGCAAGCCCAGTCTTCCCTGTGGGCCTCAACAATATACAAAAAACAATTTACAAAATATAATACATCAATAAAAGATTAAACAATAACACAAGTAGATTTCATTTATTATACATCAACACTGACATAATTTGGTTAAAAATATTAATAGTTTATATTACAGTACCTATTGTCAACTTGTTTTAGTTTTAAGAAATTATTAGTTTAGTGTAAATAAAAAACTTAGTTCATTAAAAATTTGGTTGATTTAAATTTATTCCAACATATTTTTATTATTTCCCTTTGCCTTCAAAGGGTGGTGTCATCCTGACGATTAGATTTTTTCCACATTAAGGAGTACTCCTGAGCAAACTAAGAACATAATAAAAATAAATATAAGGTAAAAGGTAACTAAATTCTATTTATAGAAAACAAAGGCTTGATAATTTTCAACACCACAACAATGGTGCCAAGTGGGATCAATGCCTGCTTCTAGAGATACCATCCTATCAATAAGGAAGTAAATCATAAAACAAAACGATAGAAACAGTGATACAGTGTTTGAGACAAACTTTTGATTAACTGTAAAGAATAGTGTTTCGAATATCGAAAGCTTTAAATATATACATTGATAGGTTTTTCTAATTTCTATTTCATTTTCTGAATTCATCAATGTAACAAATTTATGTATATTTGGTCTTTTTCAAAAGTGTTTTTTTATATAATATATTTCGTAATACATTATATAAAGAGAACATTCTAAAATAAAGTGAAATTCATCTTCCAAAAATAAAACAATTTTACATTTCGTATCATCAAAAAGGTATAGCACTAGGTTTATTCCACCTGCCAGTTTCAATCTCGAGTCTATGTGAAGAAACTCTAAAGCCGGGACAGAGCATTTCTAAATGTTTCAATATTAATACAGTTTAAATACTTTTGAAATTTAAAATTTGCAAAAATTTACATATGTACGAGCTTGAGTTGAGTTATTTATTTCTGAAAACCAATTTTTGGATAAAAACATCATTTACTCTTTGTTTTACTTAACTAATTAATACAACTATATTGCCTACGCCTTGAGATAACCATACATCATTAAAACCAAGCAACTGTAATAAATCTCTAACAATTCTAACCCATGTTTTTGTTTGGTCTTACCTGTAACTCTCTGTACAATAAATCATAAACTATTTTAACATATTTTATATTTTTAAGCTGTATAATTTTAAGCCAGTATTTTATTACACTTACAATTCTTCTGCATTTCAAAATTTGTTCTACCTAGTTCTCCATAAATAAATAGTTTTGAGTTTGTAGTCTGAGGCCTAACGTTTTTTACAAACATTTAAATGCACTTTTTCTAATTTACAAACAATCATATAACCGCTTACCTCTGAAGCATAGTTTCAACATTGGTGAGATCAATTTATCAGAAAGGTCTAGTTTATGTTTCACAGTTATATATGGGAATTTAATCAAAATCTAATTGTAATTTATATAATGCCTTCAAAGCCTGACCAGATAGTGTTTTCAAAAGAAGTATTAAAAGATCCACCAGTTGTAAAGACTACTCCTAAATAAGTAAAACCTTTCGGCAATTTCTAAATTTTCTCCTTTATATACGAATGAAATGTTATGTCTTAGTCTGCCTTTTCTGAAAATCATTACTTTAGTTTCCTTAATATTAACAGTAAATCTCCACTTATCACAATAATTCTCCAATAACAATAAAGCTTTATGAAGGCCTTCTTCTGTTTTAGAAAGAATAACGATATCATCTGCATATAAAAGTAAAAACAATTTTAACAAACCTAAATTAACTTCTTCAAATTCATTCATAATAAAATATTCTTCTATGTCATTAAGATACATGGCGAACAAAAAGGTGATAAAACTCTCCTTGTGGGGCGCCTTGCACACATGAAAATTCTTCACTCAAAACATTTTGATATTTTTATTCTGGACCTTACACTTTCATACATTGATTTAATAACGTCTAACATTTTACCTCTTACACCATATTTAATTAATTTAAACCATATAATATCTCTAACTTAATAGTCAAAACCCATAGTAAAATCAACAGACGCAGCATATATAGTTTCTTATTGTTATTCAACAGATACGTAATAAGGCCATGCAAAACAAAAGTGTTATCTATGGTTCCCATTTTGTTGTCTAAAACCGGACTGAGCTTCAATGTAAACGTGATATTTTTCTGCCCAAGTATTTAATCTATCATTTAAAATTTTTGTAAATAAATTACCAAAGGAACTTTATAAAGTTATTCCTCTATAGTTATATATATTTGGTCATTTAATGCACAAATCTGTGAAAAAATTCAGTAATTTAACCTTCAAGGTCAAGGTCATTAGAGAGCCAAAGTCAATTTGATAAACATGAAGGTCTTGTCCTTAAGAATGTTCTGTTAAAAATATGAAGTTGATCCATTAAATAATAGCAAAGTTACAGCCAGTTACAGCCAAAAAAAATGAAAAATTTCAATAATTTGACCTTAAAAGTCAAAGTCATTTATGAGTAAAGGTCAAGGTCTGTCTGGTTATTTTTAAGGGTTATCCTTGAAGATTATTAAGTTCAAGTTTGAAAGACAATCCATTCAAAACTAACAAAGTTACAGCCAATAATAGCCAAAAAATGAAAATTTCAATAATTTGACTTTCAAAGTCAAGTTCATTTATGAGTGAAGGTCAAGGTCTGTCTAGTTATTTTGGGGCTATCCTTGAAAATTATTATGTTCAAGTTTGAAGACAATCCCTTAAAAAATAACAAAGTTACAGCCAATAATAGCTAAACAAATTACAATTTTCAATAATTTGAACTTCAAAGTCAAAGTCATTTATGAGTAAAGGTCAAGGTCTGTCTGGGTATTTTTAAGGGATATCCTTGAAGATTATTATGTTCAAGTTTAAAGACAATTCATTAAAAAAATAACAAAGTTACAGCCAATAATAGAAAGAACAAGCAAAATTTGGACTTCGACCTTGAAGGTCAAGGTTAGTGTGGTCTTCTGAAAGGTCTTGTCCCAGGGGTTGTTGTGGCCAAGTATGAAGACAATACAAATACACCAAGAAATGGAAAAGTTATGATCCAGGTACAAGTTTGCGGACGGCAACGGCAACACCGCCAGGACTTTAACCATACCTTTACTTTTTTTTTAAAAAAAAGTCGAGCTAAAAATGTATAGCAGAATACAACTGCTGTTAATTTTTGGGAAAAGTTGGGAAAATGTATAGCAGAATACAACTGCTGTTAATTTTTGGGAAAAGTAGAGGAATTATTTTGTTACGTAAATAAAATATGTAAGTTAACTGTACTTGATCAATCCACTGTCTTGTAACAACTCTCTGCTTAAATTGAGTGGAATGTCTTCACTGTCAACAACTCCTGTAGGTATAAAGAAATTTACAAAATATTAATAATAAATCAAAACAAATCTTCATTTGATGTCAAAAGTCTGAATATGTTATTTTCTTTGACTAAATCATTTAGTTTTATGTTTTACTGTATTCACATACACAAAATATACAATTCCACAATTATACAAACATGTTCATCAAGTGTATATACAAAAGCATAAAGAAATTATGTTGAACAAATTTAAAAATCATTAAAATATTTTATCTTACTTTTGACATATTTGATGTCAATAGATTGGACATGTTTTTCTTTATCTTTTTTTTATTCATTTTTTTATTCATTATGTTTTACATTGCATCAATACAGTATAGGTTATATGGCATCTTTCCAGCTTTACAGGTAGAGGAAGACCTTAGATGACCTTCCATGCACTATTTCAGGAACCTGAGTGAAACCATAGATTTTTCATAAGCTAGCTCTAAGCTTCCTCACATGAAAGAAAATAAAGTAACTGTTCGGATTCAAACCCAAAGCTGTGTTCAACAAGCGGTTCTAAGTCAACCAATTAACCACTCAGTCATGAACGTCCCTACATCTTTTTTTAAACAATTACCAAATCATACTAGCAATCATGTCCTCTGTTACCTTTCTGCTACATTTACTGTATTCCTAGAAATGTTCGCGGATACAATGTTTTGCGTTTTTCACGTCGGCATTTTCGCGGAGACAAACTTTCGCGGATATGTAGTAACCGCGAATTCCGCAAATGTTAAGTCGCTACGGTCTAAATTACAGCTTTTAGAGGCTACGTTTTTGATGCATGACCTTGCCTGTTGGGTGCTTTTAATTATTTTATTTTTTTTGACAAGTCGCGCCTAAAGCGCAACGTTACTCGATTCATTTTCATGTATTGACTAGTTGAACAAGGACGGTTGTTCCGTGAACACTTTCATATGTCCTTACCTTTTTTCATTATGTTATTAAGTAAGATTTAGTCAGACCCGTTAGCTTTTATTCTCATTTGAATCTTTACTGGCTTTATCTTCAAAATGTCGATACTTTTTTTTACACATTATCGAACTGTACATCGCTTTCATTATAACAACATAACAGCTGTTTATCAATGTAGCACTTTATCGCTTTTGTACTTTTAACAAAGGATTACACCTACTCCAAGCAAAACAAATCCAAGTCATTCAATGTTCGCAAACTGTAAATGCGTTTGTCAACGCTGTGACTAGCAAATAACGTCAATAAGCATGATAATTACTAATAATTGATATTTTGTTTTTCAGCGTGCAAACTAGTACCAATAACATACATAAATTATTCTTTACACATTTCAATAGCACCTGTGTTTATATGTTGTTTTTTTTTGTGTAAGAAAATTATAATAAATAGTCTGCACTTTTTATGTTATATTTGGCTGAAGCTAGAAATGTTCGCGGATTTGTTATAAGTGACATATTCGCGGCTATAAAGATTCGCGGAATCATGCCTACCGCGAAAACCACTATCTTAAAATGCGCGAAATCTTTTCTAGGAATACAGTATATAATTATGAACATACACTACTACATCACTGAATATGTATATATTACATAAAAATCAGGTTATAGAGAACTAATGCCTTTTTCATAACTGATGTGACATTTCTGTTCTGTTCCTATGTGATAAATTAATTTAATTCATTTAGTAATGCAGCACTCATGTTTTTTTTATATAAATTTCAGCATTACTTATGACATCATATCTCATACATCTGAACTCTCCCTATTTAAGTGGGAGACTCTCTCAGGGATGCCAACAGACAATTTGAAAAAAAAAAGAGGGAAAATTAAACGCCAAGGGGTCATGGGGGCCGGCCCCCATGCTGGTCCAGGGCAGAGCCCTGGTGGGGGACCAGGGGGCAAAGCCCCATGTAAGCTCCTGGGTTTTCATTCTTTTCTGATGGTCTAAAATGCACTTCCTTTTAGTGCTTTATCAAATATTTTCATTAAATGATATTGTATTACTTTGACTGGCAGTAACAAAATTAAGGCAGACTTTAATTTCAGTATCTATAACTGTACAGTGTAACTTCCAAATTCTGGAACTTCTGAAATCCAGAAACTTCTAAAAACCAAACAATTTTTTCGGTCCCGATTTTTTCCCTTCTATTTTCTATTAATATAATACTTCTGAATTCCGGAACTTCTAAATTCTGAATTAGAGTCAAATCAATGCAATTTTACCTCCAAAAACTGGAAATATTCAAAGGTGTGAAATACATTGTAAATCGAGAATGTTTACCCTGCAAGGGATTTAATCTCCCTATATCGATTGTTTACTAATTAGCGGTGATCGTGTAATTTGACACGCGTTAAAATCACAAACTGTGAAATGGTATGTTTGAAGTGATGATAATTTACAGCGGTCAGTTAATTTGAAGTGTTGATTAGCGGATTAAATGACAATTAATTGGGACAATGTATGCATCAAACGTCTTTTAGGGATTTTATTGCATTTGATGTAATAATCAAATAACTAGCATCGGACGATATGTAAGTTTATGCAATTAACAACATTTCTACAAACTGATAGAAATTCAAAAGCATTTGCAGGTAAGATAAAAATGTATTCTTTTCATTCACATCGTTATCTTGATAAAAACACTATTCTATATGATATTACAGTAATGGCCACATCTTCCTTGACATTTAGTGATATAAAATGACTTAGTCTTGTCCACATTATCATAAACCTCTGAATTCCGGCACAACCTCTGAAATCCGAACTTTTTGACAAGTCTCATGGGTGTTCGGTTTTCGGAAGTTACACTGTAATAATATTACGATTTGACGTGATCCTCGATTGCAACGAACCCTCGACTACCATAATTAATTTGCTTTGAACATAGTCGACACGAAGCTTGTCCAGGAATATTTGTCACCAATGCAGATGTTTGTCTCGGTTGATCCGATATTCACATTTACTATGTTCTTTACCATTTCAAATTAAACTTATTTTGACACAGTCTTTGATCTTAGAAGCGTTGTTGGAGTAAATTGCTGCCATTATTCATGTAAAAAATATCTTTCTTGCTAATCGGCCGACAATTTGTTTTGCTTTCTTCAACTACAGAAAGACGCTACGATTGGTCGGTATATATAATGCTATCGTTCATTGGCTTACTATAATAGCGACAATAACTGAGCATACCCGAAAAGCGGTATGGTCTAAATATTTACAGTACGGTCTAAACATTTACAATCGGCGGACAATAGACGGTAGCAAACTTGGCGAAAGAGACCCACACCCCTGCAAATTTAATTTTTCTCCTCGGATTTACATCGTTCTCAAAAGTGGTTCGAGGACCCTGTAATCCGCGGATCTGCGGAAAATTGGCATCCCTGTCTCTCTTTCTCCTTTCAAATTTCTAAATATTTTTCTTAGAATAAGGGGCCTTTAAAGAAAAAAGAAATCTCCCTCTTTTTCATTTCAAAATCTTTGTCTATTGTCCATTACAAAATCTCCCACTTTTTAAAAGTAAATTCTCCCTCTTGAACATTGAAAAAAGTTCGCATGTATGCATATTGTGGTGCAAGTTCTATAGTGTACATATGAAAAAGATATACCTTTCATAAATCTGAGCCATTTTGGAAGAATTGTGTTGGACTTGGACATGATCATAACTTTCCTACTGTACAGCTGTAGACTAACTTCTGTCTCACGACTCATGTCAAACAATGCTGAAAATATACATCTTACATTCACGACTTATGTCAAACAATGCTGAAAATATACATCTTACATTCACGACTTATGTCAAACAATGCTGAAATTATACATCTTACACTCATGATTCATGTCAAACAATGCTGAAATTATACATCTTACACTCATGATTCATGTCAAACAATGCTGAAATTATACATCTTACACTCACGACCCATGTCAAACAACGCTGAAATTATATATCTTACACTCACGACTCATGTCAAACAATGCTGAAATTTATATATCTTACACTCACGACTCATGTCAAAACAATGCTGAAATTATACATCTTACACTCACGACCCATGTCAAACAACGCTGAAATTATATATCTTACACTCACGACTCATGTCAAACAATGCTGAAATTATACATCTTACACTCACGACCCATGTCAAACAACGCTGAAATTATACATCTTACACTCACGACTCATGTCAAACAATGTTCAAATTCTATTTCTTACACTCACGACTCATGTCAAACAACGCTGAAATTATATATCTTACACTCACGACACATGTCAAACAATGCTGAAATTATACATCTTACACTCATGACTTATGTCAAACAACCCTGAAATTATACATCTTACACTCACGACTCATGTCAAACAATGTTCAAATTCTATATCTTACACTCACGACTCATGTCAAACAATGTTGAAATTATACACCTTACACTCACGACTCATGTCAAACAATGTTCTTATTCTATATCTTACACTCACGACTCATGTCAAACAACACTGAAATTATACATCTTACACTCATGACTCATGTCAAACAATGCTGAAATTATACATCTTACACTCACGACTCATGTCAAACAATGCTGAAATGCTATATCTTTCACTCACGACTCATGTCAAACAATGCTGAAATTATACATCTTACAATTAAGAATCCGAACAATGTCAGGAAACTGTTGCAATGCCAGGTTTACTGCCAATATTACATATAAATATTTGAAAAAAAAAAAAACACAAAAAAAAACAAATGCTGAAAATTCTCAAATCACCAAACACAAAACTCCTTTTGGTGACAATAGTTATGTGAAAATTATGAGATGAGAGTTGTGTAGTGCAGCCATTATTCATAATTTTAATTATGACTTTTTCCTACAGAAATCCTGGTTAACTGGTTAATGCTGCTGTTTAAATTTTGAATCAAATTGGAGACACGCAAGTTGTAACTTGATGTATATTTTAGAATTTGGTGCCAGTGCTAACCTGTTTCTTTTGTTGTTGTTTTCTATTTTAGAATTTGACAATCAAAATGTATGCCTCTTGATAAAGAGGGACAATTTGATGTTTTGAACAACAATTTACATGTATTTGCTAAAATACTACCATGGTATGTGGCATGTATGGTAGAGGTAATGAAAGTAGGCAGGGCTGATCAGTCAATTAAATTAGCCAACGACTTACATGCATGCTTCACTATTCTCAGTGCTTGAAATAGTGAAACAAGAGCCTGGATAATGTAGGATTTTCAAAGTTAAAAAATGGGCCATAATTCTGTCAAACCACATGTAAGATGTATGGGCCTTGAACACTTACCTTCTTCTATTAAGCTCTCAAATAAGTTTGTGAAGTTTCAACCCATTTCTTTCAGTACTTTTGGAGATACCAACTTGCATGAAAAAACTTAGCCAAAGTGTGACACTGACACACAATTGAATGAGTACAAAAAGCTCTCACTTTTCTTCCAATAATTGAGCTTATATGGAATTAGCAGAGTAGCATTAATACTTTAAATATTATGCTGTTTTTAATCAAGATATAAGGAACAAATACAGAACCCAGGACTCAAACTTTAAGATCAAAATTAACTCTTATTTTACAAACATACATGTACTTTAAAATTAAGATTAAACAGTATTGAAAAATCAAATAAAAATTAAAACTTTTTCCATCAAAGTGTAAGAATTTCATGGTTGTGAAAGTTATAAGAGACAAAATGTATTATACAGTATTTTCAAAACCTTTATAACCAAGCCACCTTTACAAATGTTGACATCCCTTAAACTTAAAATAGACTGTCACAATTCAAAGCAGGACAAATCCATAACACAATTTTTAACTTATCACATTATACTCACATGGTTTGTATTTAGGTACGTAGAAAATGGCTCTTATATTGAGCGGGGCATCAGTTTTGTAATGTAGACTGTATCTAGGTATGTCATATGTGTTGGCAATCAGTCTGTAGAACTCTTCATGCATTTCTTCAGTTACGTCCCTTGGTTCCAGCGTCCATAGAGCCTATACAGATTGGAAAGAGATCATCATTTACTTATATTATTTTTTTGTTTGTTTAGTGTTATATGACAGATATGATAAAGATCATATAGCAACTTTCCTGCTGTACTTTTTTTACTTTTTTTTCTTTTTTTTTGGTTTTGTTTTTTTCAGTTATATTGCTTTTGTTTTTTGTTGGGTCTTTCATTGCACTAATACAGTAAAGGTCATATGACAACTTTCCAAGTAGAAGACCTCTTCAGGTACCCCAGTGTCAGGCTCAAGCAGGTATCTTAGTAGAACTACTGAGGTTTTATCAGCTAGCATAAAAGAATCCAAGGTCCCTAACGGGATTCTAACTCGCTTACCGAAAAGGACATTTTTTTTTCACCAAGAATAGTGCTAATGCACTTTTTTGTTCATTATTATCTGCAGAAGCCCTCAGATTATTCAATCTGTTACCCTGTTGCTTGGGCTTTAAATGGGTCCTTTTACTTTGTGCATTATTATTTGCAGAAGCCCTCAGATTATTCAATATGTTACCCTGTTGCTTGGGCTTTAAATGGGTCCTCTTACTTTGTGCATTATTATCTGCAGAAGCCCTCAGATTATTCAATCTTTCACCCTGCTGCTTGGGCTTTAAATGCATCCTCTTACTTTGTGCATTATTATCTGCAGAAGCCCTCAGATTATTCAATCTTTCACCCTGCTGCTTGGGCTTTAAATGCATCCTCTTACTTTGTGCATTATTATCTGCAGAAGCTCTCAGATTATTCAATCTGTAACCCTGTTGCTTGGGCTTTAAATGGGTCCTCTTACTTTGTGCACTATTATCTGCAGAAGCCCTCAGATTATTCAATCTGTTACCCTGTTGCTTGGGCTTTAAATGGGTCCTCTTACTTTGTGCATTATTATCTGCAGAAGCCCTCAGATTATTCAATCTGTTACCCTGTTGCTTGGGCTTTAAATGGGTCCTCTTACTTTGTGCATTATTATCTGCAGAAGCCCTCAGATTATTCAATCTGTTACCCTGTTGCTTGGGCTTTAAATGGGTCCTCTTACTTTGTGCATTATTATCTGCAGAAGCCCTCAGATTATTCAATCTGTTACCCTGTTGCTTGGGCTTTAAATGGGTCTCCTTGCTTCTACTGATGTTGATGTTACCCTCTATTATTTTTAATAAAACGTTCCCTAAATTGACAAAAAGATTCAAATTACCTGTACAACATTAACTTTCTTGCCATTAAGGTAGATATCAACTCCAACAAAGTTACTGTATTTTGTTATTACATCTATAAAACAGAAGAAAAGTGCTTCATTAGTACATATAAGAAACAAGAGCTGTGAAAGGGACAGTGTGCTTGACTGAACTATAAGTATTTTACCTTTGTCACCAGTATATAGCCAGGTTAGACTTCACATGCATATAGTCAAACCTGTGTTAAAGACCACCTTTAAATAGTGATCACCCTGTAAATTAAGGCCACTTAACAACAATCCTTCATTTATCAAATACAGTCTAACTTGCCCATGCGACCACGTGTATTAAGCGACTTTTGTCTTAAACGACCACTTTAAATTCCCCCGATCATTTTCTCTCTATATCTTTAATGTATTAAGCGACTTTTGCTCAACGCGACCAGCGACCGCTAATTAGACACCTAATTGAGATAAAGCTTTTCATTAAACGACCACTTTTACCTGTCAAGTAATTGTGTTTTTAGAGAACGTAAAACAAAATGACATCCAAATAAAGTCCACTTGTCTATAAAAGCCATCTTTGGTCTCTCCTTTGCATGACCTTTGTTCACAGGTTTGACTATAGTCTGACCAGGCTCTATACTGATGGTGGATCAATTTTTGTATCTTGATATTAAAATTGATAAAAGTATTTAAGATTAAGGGGGGAAATTCTTGTTCTCAAAACCTTAAACTAAAATTAGTTAATAATTATGTTAAAGTTTTGAAAATGTTTAAATCAGTATGTGACTTGTAGGCCCCATGTGGCCGGGTGTTGTAAATAACAATTATATTCTCACTATGTTATGTACATAACACAATGTCACTAAAATAAATTTTATTTCTCCTATTTTAGGATATCAGTTATGAAATGAAATAACTCTCACACAAATATACCATTCCTTTCTACTTAGCTATGTGACACCGCAAATAGGACAGTTGCTGTAATTTCATGTGTTACAAGAAAATGTCGAGATCATCAAAAGACATCCAGTATTCTGATTTTCACTCAGATATTTTATATGATTATTGCTTCAATCATGTGTTTTGTTCTGTCCTGTGATTATCATAATTTGTCTCTTTTGTCATGTGATCACCATTATGTGTTTAAATGTGTTTGTTCTATCATGTGATTATCACACAGATGTGTTTACATCTTGACACAGTCTTTGTTCTGTTGTGTAATCATCACAATGTGTTTAAACCAAGTGTTTGTTCTGCTTTGTGATCTGAATTACGTGTCAAACTTACATGGTTGTACTGGAGTGTGATCAGCACAGTTTGTTTAAATTATGTGTTATTTGAATTATCAGTGACACAATCATCTGTACAAGTCAGTATGGTTCAATACTTTACATGTTACAAGATTACATCATCATGTAGCACCCAAACATATAACTATATGACAAATTCACCTTTGATGTAGCTCTCCACACAGAACTCATGACTTTCTGGCTTGAGATGAATTACAATCTTGGTTCCCCTCTGTACACCCTCTGCTTCTGCTAGTTCAAAGGTACCAGTACTGAAAACAGGGAAACAGTCCCATTATGATTTATTTAGCCAAACATGATTTGAGCACCAGTGATATTAACCTTCAATCCAGTTACCCACCCCCCAAAACTCCACCCAAAGTTAGGGGACAACCCTAGGCTAACAGCCTAACAAATGTAAAACACATTAGTCAATAAAATATTATAGGGCTGCATGAACAAATGTGTAAACCTCTATTTTTAACACCTCTTAACACTGCGCTTCTTCTCATTGTGTTTTTACAGTGTGAAGTTTCCATGAAATATCATTGATAGTTTTAAAGTTATGCACCGGGAAAGCATTATTAAACATTTTTCTAGAATCATTAAGGGAGAGAAGAAAAGATCCAAAAGACATGGTATAAACTTCTTTTGTAGAAGCCTACTCACGACAGACAATTTCAACTCTATACATTAGGTTAGCATCTTAATTAAGACCATACGAATTAAACTTAGGTAAAAGTCTACAAAATTGTTTTGAAAATGATGTTTGAAATAGAAATTTTGGACAATAAACAAAAGATATGCATTATGCATTCAAAAAGCAAAATTTGACCAATTTGAGCTCAGGTGAGCTAAAAATAATATTACATTGTAATATAATATACAATTCATTAGTTTTATAAGTATTCCTCCAATTCGTTTTTGTAAAACCAAATAATGGAAAATACTCAAGGAGTTAAACTTACCCATCAGAGGACCATTTGTATGCTTGGGACCCTGGTATGCATGATTTACTGTAAACATCAACTTTATTTCCTACCATGAATGATGAGTAAAAACCTACACCAAACTGGCCAATAATATTCTTGCTAGCATCAGAACTGTCCTTCATTGAGTCCAAGAAAGCCTGGAAAAGAACAAAATTGAGTAAAGTCAAGAAAAGAACATGATTGAATAAAGTCAGGAAGAGAACATGATTGAGTAAAGTCTGGAAAAGAATGTAAATGAGTAAAGCCTGCAAAAGAACATGATTGAGTAAAGTTTGTAAAAGAAAATGATTGAGTAAAGCCTGTAAAAGAACAAGATTGAGTAAAATCAGGAAAAGAACATGATTGAGTAAAGTCAGGAAAAGAACACGATTGAGTAAAGTCAGGAAGAGAACATGATTGAGTATAGTCAAGAAGAAATTCATGATTGAGTAAAGTCAGGAAAAGAACATGATTGAGTAAAGCGAGGAAAAGACCATGATTGAATGAAGCCATGAAAAGAATATGATTGAGTAAAGCCAGGAAAAGAACATGATTGTTTTTCAAATTACTATGAAACAAAATTTCATCCATTTAAAATGTTTTGGTTTTATTGACTCCATTGGCTATTTAATATAACTTAAATATGTCATGTTTGTTGACAATTACCTCCCTTGATCAAATATACTGAAATTGCTGAACCATACCATCCCTAAATATAATTTACTCAAAATACCATGGTTTGAATAGTGGCACAATTATTACTGTAAACTTTTCAATAGAATATCTCTTACATGTTTACATATCTTCTTAGAGCTATTCTAATACACAGTTGTATTCTGCAATTATAAACATTATGGTGTTGCTAGGCAACTTACCTTAGATCCAGAATGAGCAATTGTTCCCAGATTTTTTACCATTTCTTCTCTTGTCATACCAATACCAGTATCCTGAAACATTAAAAGTTTAACATTCATTTATTTGTCCCCGTAACAAATGTTTTACAAGTGATCCCGTAACCATCAATTACACAATTTCTGACATTCATCAGCATTTCACAGTAACACATCTTTTAAAACTAATTCTCAAACTTAAATTACGAAACAGCAAATTTTAACCATAACAGCTGTTATTCAGTCCAAAGCATATTGAAAATATATCAATATGGAAATATATCAATATGGGATAACAAATATGGATGATAATAAATTTGTTCATCCATGTTTTACCTTTATACATGTTTTCATTAAATTACGATGTTCTCTTCATAAAACTTTATCTGTATTGTTAATAAATGCCCTTTTTTTTCTGTCTTAAAATGTGTAAATAAACACAGCAACACAAACCGTTATTATCTTTTAACTGATCAATTACACAATGTACCAAGATATACCAGAGCACCTGCTTCTGTTTATGCTTTTGGTTAATCCAAGTTTCATGTTAATTATTCTTAAAAGATTTGAATAAAGGGCTACATTTTAGTTTTCACAAGACAAGATGAGCAATCATAATATTTCCATTTATTCTCCAAAATAGACAAGCTCAAAATTTTGTGGTTTTGTCACAAAGAACATTTTCGTGGGTTATTCAATTTCTGGACCGTTTTATTTTATTCTTGCAAAAGGTAAAATGTAAAAAATGAAATGATGAAATTTCTTTGGATCTTAAATTTGTGGATTGACCTATCCCGAAAACCACGAGAATTTGTTCCTCACCAATAATAATGATGGTGCGATACCTATACTGATGGCACAGGCTAAATTAATCACTTTTGGTTTCCCATAGGTTAAGGGGTTAGTCAATGTTCTCATATTGCATTGACTATATGCTCTACCAACATTTAAAATATCTAATGTTTATAACTTTTAATCAATGATAAACCTGAATAGTGATTGTTTTCTTCGTCTCATCACCAGCAATATCGATTTCCAAGGGGAGGTCACTGTCCTCTATGTCACCATCAGCCATTTGTTTGTAACGAAGTTTTTCAAGAGCATCGCTTGAGTTGGATATCAACTCTCTAATAAACACCTGAAATTATCAATTTTAACACATGCTGCAATTTATTTTCAACTACACGTACAGGCAAAAAAGAGATCAAAAAGATTTTGACATTCATACATGTTTTTATCACACACCTATGCCGATTTTGCGACTCCATAAATATAGTATTGCACAGCCATGCATATATTTTGACGTGACGATTAGCGTTATACAAACATAGCGTAAAGACGCCCTAAATGTTAGCGCTATACTAACTAAAAAATGACTTTTTTTCACTTTAAACGGTCTTTAATTTAGGTATATGATAAATAGAATATTAAATTCGTGTAAGTTCATTACTGAATTTCTTGAACTCGTTGAATAAAAATAATATATAATGCTCGCCAGGGGCTTGCATAATATAATTTTATTCAACTCGTGCAATAAATTCAGTATTGAACTTACACTAATTCAATATCCTCTATTTAGTTTATGTTTAATTATTACAATGGTCATTTGGAGACTTGCCAACTTTACTTTCATTGTAGAAGTACCTAAAATTACCCTTTCTTGCATTATCAAAGGCACAAGCAGACACCAAAGTAGTATAAGTTAGCTGGAAAGCTTGCCCACATGGAATTTAGTTTATACAAATTTATTTTATTTTGATTGTGTTAGATGCTTAAAGCATATTGAAACACTCTCGAATTCATTCCTGGAACAAACTAGTAACAATGAATGTAAAAGTTTCTTGCTCAAGGAAACAATAGCTTGCCCCTGGCAGGGTTGGAATCCACGCAGTCAGCAATCCTTAGATTACTAGTTACTAGTCTGATGTGTTAACCACTCGGCCACATTGAATTAAAGCAAGTAGTTCATGTTTATCTAATAATGATACAGTGTTTAATCTATTTAAATATATGTACAGTCATGCAATAACCTTCCCACTGTTTCAAAATACTATACAACATATATAACTTTTCAATAAGACATTTTGTATCTACAAATAAAAGATCAAATGGCAACTTTCTCAATGCCTTTTCATGTAGATGAAATAGGCACCTAAATAAAACAACCAACATTTCAAAAGCTACCTCACACAATAAATTTTACAAACCTCTTTCTCACTGTACAGCGATCTCGCAACAATGTCCAACAGTTTCCTAGTCTCTGCCTGGAACTCAAGTTTGTCTGAGGGACCTAAATAAAGAATTATATATACAAAAATAGCATGCCTCAAAAATAAATCTATCAACAGACAGTGCTAACTTGAGGACTATGTAGCGGATATGAAAAGTTTAAAGTTACCCTCTCCTTTGCCTCTGGTCTTTACAATCAATAAATTATATATAAAGTGACATTGACTTACTGATCTGAAAATCAGGAATGGAGACTAATCTACACACTAAATCTGTGGACTATATTCAAAAGTGCTCCATACTTATTTTAAAAAATGAACTACCAACATTTATAGTCCTGGCAAGACTGCACCTTGGTCTAAACTGGTGGCAATAGGTTATTTGATTGACAGAAAGAGACTGGCAATGGATTCTCCAGTAGCTAGAATTTTTGCAGGGCTATATCTATTTTGGGCTTACAAAATTTCGAGAACAACAGTTTACAACACTGTTTCAGTATCCTATGAGGTAAAAAAAAAGAAAACTGGCAAGAACCTTTAGATCTTTCTGTATTTTTGATGATAGTATGAAAATCATCTTCCACTGATTCTGTGTTTGCTGTTTCTTCTACAGTCCATAGAGCGGAACTGTTGTGAAATCCTTTTGTTTGTTGCCAATGAGAGCCACACTGGTATATGGGAATCTTTTTCAGGTTATCTGAAAAATATATTGTAATTTGTAGTAAAGAAAAGAAAGCAGAAGTTAAATTTAAGTGAAGTGTCGTCCTCTTATATAAAAGTCAACATTACTTATCTTACATTTTAGTTTGTAAAAGAAAGATGCAACTGCATCAGAAAAAATCCTGCCTTGCCTGGGATTTGAACTTGTGACCACAAGTTTACAAAACAAAGTAACAATATACAAGCCAACTGAGCGATAAAGCTGTGTCAAATGGTTGCACTATAAATTAAGTTGTGAAAGTAATTGTGTGCACTCAAACTTAACACAAAACTGCTTCAAAAAGACAGGAAACTTATTTTCAAAAATCAATATTAAGTTGTTTCTTATATCATCAATTCTACACATTGATTCTTTTTACATCCGAATCAGAATTCAATATACTGATGACTAATACAAGAAAATTTTAAACAAAATGGTTTAATCAAATTTAAAAGACATGGGTCTGCAAATTTTAATTCAGTGATCATTTATTTTTTTAAATATTAATTTTTGTTAAAAAGTTGCTGGCAGTTGACAAGGGCAATGGAAGGTATGGGGGGAGCGACACAAAATACCCAAATATTGCCCAAATATACCACACAAATAAATTTAAAGTTAAATATGGCTAAACTAATTTCTGTATGACTATCTAATGGCGTAAAATATGTGATTTCACTCGTGACAAGTAAAATGCAGAAACATGGCACCGTTGCGTGAAGAGTTTGTGTTTTTGATTCATAAATTAATTTAGTTTAGACAAATTTTACTCAAAGTCTATATATGTGTAATATTTGGGTATTTCCTGCCGCCGGGTATGGCACAATCGCATCCAAAACATCATATCCGAAAACATGCAACTACATATCAATGACATAACATGATAGCACATATATTACCCCATAAATGTACCCATTCACTGCATACGAGACCATTTGATAATATATGGCATTCATACCATTACGATGGCGCAGCTGTCATGGTCATCTTACGATAAAACAGACCATAAACAGCTGATCAAGGTCATGTCCATTATCCGTTACAAAATTAGCCGATTTCCTCGTACACAACAACATTTGATAATTTCAGTTAACTTACCACGTGCAGCGTGAGTAAATACTGGTTGGGGACCACCAAAACCGGACAACCATCAAACCCGGACGGCCCGTTAAATGTTTAATTTAGTATTTTCTTTGTTCATTGGTTGTCAGTCACTTTTTTATCAACAATAAATGCATGTTTCTTCTCAAATTAAGTAAATAATTACATTTTAACCTCCATAAATGGTAATATTTTAATGTCTATTTCAAGAATGTTGACGTTGAAATTTGGGGGTCAATAAAGCAATACCTGACCTCATATACCAGCTATAATCATTTGCAGAGTAAACAATAGAATATCCAAAACTTCAGCATTTGTTGCTGAAATATTGGACATATTTTGTTAAAAATCAAAAATCAAAACACGCAAGCTTTTATCTGAATTAAATCACGTCATGTACATATCTGTCCGGACACATGGTACTGTAGTGTAGACAATTTAGGTAATTTTGATACCCTGCTTGTCAAGCCTCAGATATAAGTGTCAATACATTCAGAAATAAACAACCTAGTTTGTTAGTTAGGAGAAGAACCTAGCTGAACTGTGTTAAATTTTTTTATCTCTAGGTTAAAAATTATGAAATCTGTACGGAAAAATGTACAAAAAGTGTCCGGTTGATGGTCCCCGACCAGTATACTTTTTCTTCGAAACGCCCCGCCAGTCAACACATTCTGACAACTTGTGATACCAAAATACTGTTTAATTACAGTAGGTCGTCTCACAATACACGTTCTCATGGAGGCTGACATTTTGTCGGAATAGGTTGAATACGACTAAAGGCCGTGACTTTGTATAACACTGACGGTACAACCCGGCCCCAAGTCAACCCGGCCCCAAGTTAGCCCGGCCCCAAATTGGTCAACCCGGCCCCAAGTCAATGTTATTTCTGGTCAACCCGGCCCCATTTTTTATTATTTATTTTGCTTTAAAATGTTAACACTTTTCAAGAAATAAAATAAAATTTACAACAAAAACAACAACAAAAGTTTAACGATGATATTTTTTATTATTTATTTTATATAAAAACTTTCAATATTGACAAACAAGCAATTAACACATGCATAATTTACTGTTTTTACAATGTCCAATGCATACTTATATAAATACAATGTTCAATGTATAGTTCTACAATTACTGTTCGTCACACACCCCTACAATGTTCTTCACATACAAACACCAATTCACTCGTCGTCTTCTTTTGCCTCTCTTCTACCTAGTATGGGTCTAAACATGGTAGACACAATCTTCAATAGGGCGGTTTAGACATAATAATGCTGGTAAATTTACTTAAATCAGAAAGAGTAATTTCATTTCTACTATTTAATATTCTCGCAAAACAATGGACGGTATCTGAAATATTAACACAATCAATACAATTATCAGTCATAATGACATAAAGTGATTAAACACAAAACACTATCAATTTTTTTAAACACTTCGATCGTAAAATTGCAATACTTTTTACACAGTAAATATTCTTTGAAAACAAGTTAATAAAAACGAAACAAAAATTAAATTAATTATACTGATGAACGTTTGCAATAAAAACATTCAAATGAACTGAAAAAAATTGTTGGAAACATAATTTATACAAACCTTTTAACTCGAAATTCTATGCATTTCTTCTTAATTATCGCATTTAACACTCAGGAAACCATCTTTAATTTACATCGAATAAAGATATGAAAGATACTTCCAACTTATTTAAAGGATTTGTTTTCACAGCTATACCTTTTTTGTTAATTGATTGCTTTAAACTGTTTGATTATCACATCTGAATTAACGTTGACGTACATATAATTGTTGATGTTATATAATTATTCATTATCACTATTGCGTATTAAAGTCTTAATCGGCGCAATTAAATTTACCGACACTTTTATGCCAGTTCATGTTTTTTTACTATTGTTCTATAGTTAATAATCTTCAATCAATAATAAATCATTTTATTTGATCATACAACAAAATGACTTACGGTTTTCTTTGAAAAATATATATATTGGGGCCGGAATGACCGATTTTGGGGCCGCACTGACCAATTTTGGGGCCGCACTGACCAAATAAAAATACTGTGGGACCGGATTGACCAATTTTGGGGCCGGGTTGACCAAATTTGAGGCCGGTTTGACTTGGGGCCGGGTTAACTTGGGGCCGGGTTGACTGTAATTCAACACTGAACACCACTAAATATTTTCCTTCTATACATGAAACACATTTCCAATAACATTATAGAAATTATTGAGAAGAAAGCCGAAGGGAGTCACAAACGCTTGTCTTTGAAAGTTTGATTGTGGAGCACTACTATGTGCCTAAAAGAGTAAGTCTAAAACAAACAAAAAAAAATGACTAAACACTGTCCAGAGGTTTGTTGAAATTAATTTCTAAACATTTGAAATATCTTCCAATTATGTCAAAGCCCTCAAGGGAATGTAGACATGTCTGTTTAAAAGGACGATAATAAAATATTAAAAATGTTGACAACAGGGAGCTGGGAAACTAGGATGAGACATAATTATTATGTTCAATGCAAGCTATGGCTGCCATCAAACTACTCTGGGGTAGGGTGTAGGGCAACTGCAGGGGGACTAGATGGTTTCATTGGTATACTGTTCTATGAAACAAAGGGAATTTATTATGATCTGAAGTTGCTGTGAATAACCTATGCCACAGCTAGGGGATGGCAATGGCATGATGTTCGGGAGAGGGGTGTCACATATTCTTCTATGGGGAAAGAACAGCCAGACCATGGTTGATTTTATAGAAAAGGAATAACCTAGCATCTGTACACCAGAGGTCTGACCATAAGCTAGCGTGATCCATCACGCTGCTCTTCTCTGGACATTTTCAATTATATCTACATGTATTTGTATTTTGGTGTGGGGAGGCCATACCTCGAAACCATATTCAAGATGGGGTCTGACTAAATGTAACGTCTTGTAAGCAATGGACTTAATGGATTGGGATTTACCCTGTACGTTTTTGCATATGGATCCTAAGGTTTGGTTTGCTTTCTTGGATGTCCTGTTTATGTGAACCTCCCAAGTAAGGATTTCTGATATAAATATGCCTTTGTATTCAGCTGAGGTAACCGATTTGAATTGGACTCCATGAAAAGTAGTATTGGGATATGATGTTTCCTTTTCGTGACATGGATAAGTTGACACTTGGAGGGAGGAATTTCAATACATACACAAACTTTATTGTTTGTTTCATTAGTTTATCAGTTTTATTTTAGGTCATAAACAATTTAAATACAGCTTTGCCAGAATAATAGTTACATACAGAGACTGTATCAACAATTCCAATACAATACTGGTATAATTTTTAACCCTTTTATCATAATTTTGGTTAGTTTTTTAAAAAAAAGAAATGTTTTGTCCCGACATTGGTAATTGTTCATTTTCTAGGTTTCATACATTCTTTATAATACTGCACGTTTGTAACGTAGCTTTTCATTAGAAAATCGTGACATTTATATAGTTTTATATACACAGCTGCTGTCGATTTATGAAGAATTCTCACTTTTTCACTAAAAATGATACTTGCTGTATTATAAATTTGTTATAAAGATTTCTGACAGGTTATATGACCATATATAAACGGTTGTTTGCCATATAATCTTTGCCTAGAGACTAGGGTTATATTTCCAATCAACCATTTACATGTATATAGGGCAATATAACCTGTCAAAAATCTTTATAACTAATAATATACCCTCAAATACGAAGTATATACAGTACTTTAATCTTGTTGTTCCTTTACCTGATCTGAAAGTGAGTATCCTTTGCAACCAGTATAGAGCCAGGCTAGCTTGGATTTCTGTTTGGCATTGAAATCCCTTCAACAAAGAATGAATTGTGCCAAATGCAAAGCCATGTTGGAATGAATTATTCCATATGAATTCAAAGCCGAGTTAGTCCAGTACAGGAATTAGCAGGTTTAGGGCAGAATGTACTTTTCCCTTCTGTGATTAGATTTAATGAATATCACTTAACAGTTGTTCCAAATATATGCAAACTGAAAATAAATGAAATGGCACTGTTCTAGAAATAAACTGTTATTGACTTATAATGTTATAAAAATAGGCTATATAACTGTTTGTTTTTTTGTAAATAATATTGATCATGAATTACACCATAAAAACACATGTAATTCTAAGGGTAATGGGTTCTTCGCACCCAATGTGCCAATAAAAATCCAGTTCTTAGCCCCAGAAATTTTCCATGGTTACTGTTTTTACAGTTTATCGGAGGCAGTAGAAAAGAACAGTTATGTTCATTATCAGGTATTTTATTGCTTTGTTTATCTTGCAAGTTTTTGGTGAATTAAGCACTTTAAGTATCAAAACAATACAGCATGATGAAAGAAAAACAAAACAAGATATTACATAAAAAAGCTTTATTTTTCAAGAAATAAGTAGAGTTTAAATATATATGGTACAATTGAGACTTAAATATACAAAACAAACAAAAATCATATCTCATTTACATGACATTGTCTTTATACAAAATCAAATATCAATAATAAGTCATGACAAATAAGGTAACATTATCTACCCTACAGCACCAGACATTGACAATTTTAATATAAAATCAGTTAAATAATCACCCTAGATAACAGGCAACATAAAGTACAAGATAAGATGTGTGGCAATATTCAATTTTCAGAAATGCGTTTTATTTCAGCCATGAGAAAATATTATTATGTAGCCAGAATTTTAATTCTACTGATGATTTACTCCTTATTACAAAATAACAAGAAGACATTTTCTCTCTATGTATTCCTGATAATAAAAATATTCACATCCTGCAGTAGAGAATGACCTGTTTGACGGTATGAAAACTACATGTATGAATATCAGCTAAAATGAGCTTGATGGAAAAATGAATGAAAAAGCTACACTAACAGTAAACAAGAAAAACAAATCATTACAAATGAAATGTAGAAAAACCTTTGGAGGATATTAATTTGATAAGAATCCCACTTAGTGGAAATGAACTCGGAACATGAAATGTGTCTGTGAATAAGACCCTGCCTGCTTCCACTTTAATTCACTTCCTTTATATATTTTACACTGTTGGAAAGAATATACTCTTAAAACATAGAAAGTTTCAAAAGAACTTCTGGCACAATTAATGTCTTTGTGACAATGTGTACTTACAATGAACATTTAATGTGACAAAAAACTATGGTGCACTAGTAAATATATGTACTGGCCATTATACATGTATAATTAATAAAAACTATAATGCAAAATTTAATACAAATATATCTGATCATTGGAAAAAAAATTTAACTGAATTTTATAAGAAAGATTTTTATTCACTACTTGAAATATAATAAAATAAACAACAACTAGGACTAATATTGATTTCAGCCCAAAAAGCCTTCATAAATTTAAAATATCTGATGTATGTGATACAAAGTATGTTGGGAAAATTTCATCAAAAGTTAATTTGCAATGAAGTCTGACATTAACTGAATCAAATACATAGACATAAGAAAAGTATGCAGCTTTAAAGAATACATTGCTCAATATGAGACTTATTTCTTTGTTGTGGGACAAAAAATCTTCTTCAGGACGCCTTTATGACAGTCACCCGATGTTTCATGGGCATCATAATTGCTGACTCCTACATGATATTTAATACATTTCATCACTTTCTTTCTTTAAATAAGGAGATATTTTGTGACAATAGTTTTTTCATGTGTAAAGTATATAAAACTGCCAACAAATCCAAAACTTATT